CAGCTCACAGACTCCAACCCCTTATCATCAATCACTCTCTGTAGGAAGATTTTATAGTCCCGTCTTCTCCTTTGAATCATTAGGAAACTAAGACATAGACAGAAGGCAGGGGATGAAGATTCGAGATCATGGAACACTGGCCAGAACTTGTGTCAGGGTGCTGACATCATCACATTTATCGTCTAGCCATCCTAGAAGGGAAGAGGCTACTTTTGGAATTCTACAGAAGACAAAACTGAGGCAGAAAAACAAATAACAGCAAGTTAGACAGAACATGCTCCAGAGCTTGAGATATTTGGACCCAAATTCTTATTTGCATCTGAGAGACATGAGCATATGAGTGTTTTCTCACCCCACTGGCATAAGATGTCACTGCCGGCCTGCATGTGGCTATGCCATGCTTGACTCTTTTTGTTTGCTTGTTTATTTTTATGACCATTTTTCCTGCATGTATGTACGAACAGCACATCCACCCGTGGTCCCTGAGTCAGACGAGGGCACCAGATCCTCTAGAACTGAAGATATACATGGTTGTGAGCTGCCACATGTGTGCTAGGAAACAAACTGGGGGTTCTGCAACAGCAGCACATCCACTTTTTCTCACACCCACCCTCCAGACCCGATAGTTGTTGACTCTTCATTAGCACCAGAGTGGCTGAGCAACTTGTTCAGGTATTGCACAGTAGAAAAGGGAGGACAATGATTTGCCCCAAGGTAGCTGAGGAAGGAAGAGGAGTGTGACTCAAACATGGTCTCATGAGTGTCAGGGCTCAGGGTTTGGGCTGTAAAGCAGGAATCAGAATGAGAACTCAAGTCCCTGACCTGTGTCTCAGGTGACCAAGTCCCACCTCCCCTTCTCTGAGCTGCTCTAATTCCCAATTAGTCTAGAGAAGGGAACAGGTCACCACTCCTCCTCCTGTGGGTTGTTTCCTCCTGCTCTGCCCCCAAGGGTCTCACTGAAGTGCTCTTGCTGACATTATCCAGGGATCATCTTAGCATCCCTACTGGGAACAGGAATGGTCCTTTCCCAGCTCTCCTGGGGAGGCTCAGAGAGGAGGCAGGGCCATAAAACCTCAGCATCTGTTCCCATTGGGAAGAGGTGAAGATGTCTGAGCTTGCCTTTGCTAAGCAGGGTTTTATATGGACCATCTTCAGGGATCCCAGCTGGCCTATTTGCAGAGGAAATGAGATATTCAGTCCCTCAAACTCCACAGCATCTTGGAATTTTTCAGGAGATTGAGCTGCCTAGAAACCCAAGTCTCTGGACTCAGTTGCTTAATGTGGCTACCTCGTACAAGCAAGAAACTGCCACTCAATGACACATCCTGGATTTAAAGTGGTAAGATGGTCACTGGTGTTTGGCTTTTATTTGTGGTTCAGGCAAGTGGGTCTAGATATAATAATTAGTCAAGCCATCCATCTCAGGTCCTCTGTGCATACATCTCAAACTCACCAGATATCTCCCATCATTGCCTGCTCTTTTTTCTTCTCCTTCTCAATCCTGTGTTCTTACTTCCTTCTTCCTTTGTTCATTTATTAATTTAATAAATATTTATGGAGGATTTTTCTGTTTCAATTCAAGTTGAGACATAAAGAATATAGAGTCCTAAGCTAAAAGATCCCAAGTGAGGCAGAAAGTGATGGTCAATGTCTTTGACCACACCACAGAGTCACAGCTTGATACACATTGTGGGAAGAGCAATCATAATTTTTTTCTTTTATTTTCTTTTGGTTAGTCCCCTGTAGCCAACCTGGCCTTAACCTTGCTATATAGTTATGTATATCCTAGGACTCCTGATCTTAAACCTTCCCGCTTTGGGTTTTGTAGGCTGCGGCTAACACATGTAGCTTTTCTCTGGCTTGCCACTAAATCCTGATGTCTATATGTATGAGTCCTTGGCTCATAGATTTGAGCTGCTCTCCTACTAGGACACTGTAAGCGAAGTAAACCATACCATGCTATGGATCACTAAATGTCCCATGCCATAGAAATCACACTTCATATCCTCTCTTCTTGGATCCTTCTACTTTCAATACATCTCAGTATCTCCCACATTCAGACATGAGGGGAAATCTCATCAGGAGAGCTGGTCTGTGGCTAGTCATCCAGCTCTGTCCTAGGCGGGCTCTAGCCTGTGCTGAATCTCAGTAAACTCAAATAGATGGACAATGTGAAGATTTTGCCTTCCTCACCTTCCCGTCTTCAGAGCCTGTGTGCCAGAAGCAGAGAAGGTGACTGAGAGCCAGGCTCTGAGGACACACCTCTCAACCCCCACTTCTCCCATGCTGAGCTTGCAATCTGAAACAAACCTCCCTCTCCAGGCCTTAGGTGCTCACTTGTAACACACAAGTAAGAATACTTCCTTCAGTGAACTGTTGTGCTGTTAAACTAAAGTTAGTGCAACATTGATTGGAATATATAAATTATCCAAGTAAATATTAGTTCTTTTCTTACTATTGCAAATGTTAGGAAGTCTCCCATACAGCCATACCCCTTCAGAGATAAATCTTCCTTAGTTGTGTGAAGGTTCATTTAACAAAAGAGTAACAAATGTTTTGTCCAAGTTTTTGGTGTCACAATTGATATCAGACCCCTCTAGGATTCTTCAGATTGTAACCGACCAATGAACAAGAACTGCAGCAGGTACCAGAGTTAGGGGTGGGAGGTGGAAGCATAACAGGGAAGGCTTCTGGCTAAGCTGAGTCCTGCTGTGGCAACAGTGTGGGCAACACAGTGCAGGTGCTTTTCCCCTCCATGATGAAAGCCAGGCGGTTTCTTAAGGGGGGAGAGGCAGAGGCATGTAGGACAGTGGGTGTGCTTGCCCGGGGATTTGTGTGTGGAGAGAGCAGAGATGGAGGAGACTGTTGGGTGCTGAGGCTGAGTCTCCACAGAGCAGGAGGTTTAGGAATGCCCTGTGCACCCACTTCAGATGATAGGGCATGGGAACTTGTAAAATGCTTTCAGCAGGGGCCACATAGGAGCAATCTGAAGACTTTGAAAAACCAATGCAGGAGTCACATGAAGAACTTGTTGGGGAAGACAAATGCCCAGCACTGAGAAAGGGAAGTGGACACAAAGTCCTGCCCCTAAACAAGAACTTATTTCCAATTGATCCCGATCAGGACAGGGAAAAACAGTTTCCTTCAATAAAGTGTCACTGCCCATATCAGGTACACTCTATGGCTGGCCACATGCTCGGGAGCAGTTGGCCAACAGGAGACTTTCTCCATGGATTTTGTTTTGTTTTGATTGTCTTTCTTTTAGTTTATGTTTTCAATTTCTGTTGTTTGTTTTGTTTTGTCTTGAAAGAGAGAGTGGGAGGAAAGAATATGAAGTTGGTTTGAGAGTTTTGGGAGAAGCTAGTGTAGGGGAGGGATATGATCAAAGTATATTATTATGAACATAATTTTAAGTAATTAAAGAAAAAGAAAAGATTGTACTGAAGGAGGAAAACATAGAGGCAAGGGGCACATGGAGATGCTGATGCAGATGCAGATGCTAATGCAGAACTGCCAGGAGAGATGATGAGCTCCTGACCTGGGTTGAAAGGAAGGACAGCAGTGAGGGTCATGAGCAGTAGACTAGTTAGAAGAGGGGATGGGGACAGGGAAAGAGAAGACTAGAAGGCTCTTTCATATTTCTACTGCCATCAAAGTCAATTCCCACCTTAACCATTGTTGTGCTTAGCATATTAGTGATGCCCTCGTTCAGACAATTTTGAGTAGTGTTTGGAAATTTCCTTTACATATCTTTCCATGAACATATCTGTGTATGTGCATATATGTTTACATATTCTTTTAGAAATATAGTTAACATTTGTATTGATGGACAATGCATTAAGTGTGTTCAATGTTAGGGAACACAGCCAGGCACACACTAAGGGGATCATTTTAATTTACTCTCCCATGAGATCCAGTTACTCTCATCAACACTAGATCTCTGTGACTGTGGCCATGCTGGTAGGTGTGTGGGGATGTGAGATGGAGAACAGGCAGGTGGGCATTGGCACTGTGGTGTTCTCCTGCAATTTCCAGATGAGTAATGGTGCTGAGGACCTGAGCCTCATCAGTGCTCACTAGACAGATGCCTTGTGAAATGCCCTTTAAATATTGTTCACTGTTCCATTGGAGCATCTGTTGTTATGTTTGTGCTTTTCTAATTCTTTCTATAAATATTTTGAGCACTTCTATTTTGCTTAATCTAGATTACCATTATTTCCCCCCTCTATGAAATGTACTTTTTTGTGCTCTTTTAGAGAAATTTTGCTTACCCCAAAAGAATAAAGATATTTATATGGTTTGATTCTAAAAATTTCGTTGTTTTAGATTTGCCACTTAAAGCTATGGTATGCCTGGAATTGATGTTTTGTGTGTCCATGGAGGTAGGAGTAAAAAAGGAAGAAATGACTTTCCTGCTCCCATATCCACACGGTCCATCAGCATTGCCTGGAAAGACTCCAGTGTCTCCAGTGAATTGCACACGTGAACTTCTGTCATTACTCATGGGACTATGGCTGTGAGGATCCCCTGTCTCTGCCTTCCCAGAAAGGGAATGAGACTTTAAGATTCTACACGACATGTCATGTATTACATGGTGTTTCCAGGAGTTCTGTGAGAAACTTTAGATATTCATCATAGTCCTGAGACATGAGTGTCATCAACCTCATTTGATAGATGAAGAAACTGAGGTATTGGGAGGTTGAGCAACTTGAGAAGTGTGCACAGAAACTGAACAGTTTGCTCAAACCCAGACCCCAGCCTTTCTTTTCTTAATTAAAAAGTATGATTTTTATTTTATGTGTATGGTTTTTTGTCTACATACATGTTTGTGCACCATGTATAACTCTTGCCTGTGGAGGTGACAGGAGAGACTCAGATCCCCTGGAACTGGAGGCACAGGAAGCTCTGAACTAGCTGGTTCCCTGGAACAGCAGTCAGTGCTCCTAACCTCTGAGCCATGTCACCAGCCTGTATCTTCCCTTTCTCCCTCTATAGCTAGCATGTGTCAGGAGACACATAAATGAACATGATTCTCTTACAGGCCCCACCATGTGGATGATTCCAGGGCAGAACCAAAGCTGGGTTTCTGAGTTTATCCTGCTTGGCTTCTCCAGTGACCCCACAACCAACAGCATCCTCTTCATTGTGTTCCTTCTCATCTACCTGAGCTCAGTCCTAGGAAATGGTCTCATCATCATGCTGATCTGCCTGGACACACAGCTGCACACTCCCATGTACTTCTTCCTCTGTATACTTGCCATGTTGGATATGGGCAATGTTACCACCACCATGCCCCAGATGTTGGTGCATCTTCTTGCTCACTCTCAGACCATTTCCTTTGCTGGATGCTGGATGCAGATGTATATGTTTGGTGTACTAGGTATAACTGAGTGCACTTTCTTTGTTGTCATGGCTTATGACAGATATGTGGCCATTTGCTATGCACTTCATTATACTGTCATCCTCAACTGGGGACTGTGCATTCGGTTGGCAGCTGGGTCTTGTGTCTGTGGTTTTCTCTCTGCCTTGTTACATACTTTCTTCACCATGAGTCTGCCATATTGTGGGCCCAACAAGGTCAACCACTATTTCTGTGAAGGCCCTGCAGTGCGTAGCCTGGCTTGTATGGATACCCACATCATCGAGATGGTAGATCTGGTCTTGAGTGTTTTTGTGGTTGTTATTCCCATTTCCCTCATTGTGGCCTCCTATGTTCATATTGCCATGGCAATTATAAAGATCAGGTCCACCCAGGGCCGCTGTAAGGCTTTCTCTACCTGTGCCTCTCACCTGACTGTGGTCACACTCTTCTATGGTCCAGCCCCTTACATCTATATGAGGCCCAACTCCAGCTACTCTCCTGAGCGAGACAAGCAGGTCTCACTCTTTTACAATGCCTTCACACCCTTGCTCAACCCCTTTGTCTACAGCCTGCGGAACAAAGACATCAAGAGGGCATTTCTCAAGGTGATGGGGCATGGTAGGGTGGAAGAGAGAATAAGGATCTAGGAGAGGCTTAATTGAAGTATTGAGTATTTAAGGAAGGCAGAGTGTCTTTATTGATTGTAACTGACCTTTGCAAATGAACTGGTGTTGTACTTGGAACAAGCCACAGTGAAACCAATGTGGCTATATTGATTGACAGGCTATACTAAGGTACAATTCCAAACACCTCAGTAATCTTACTCAATCATAGCTACAATGACCCACTTTTTGTTTTATCTAAGCTATAGGTTGAAAATGACCTTCTGACTTCTCACGTCCATCCTGAAGTAAAAATCTTATATCCAACATGTCATCCTAGAAACTTGCCAAAGCAAGTAGTATGGTCTTGCCTGACAGCAGGAGGTAGAAAGTTTTTGTTTGGAGATAAGAAATACCCACTCTGTGGCCATGGTCTGATATGTTGGCTGCTCTACTTAGAAGGCAGCAAGTAGTATGGAATATGTAACCTGCTATATTTCCTAGAAAATAACAGTGTAGCTATAAACCAACACAAAACATGCTAACTGTAGATAACATTATAGTAGAGACAGCAGAAGGCTGAGGCCTATATGCTAAAACATGCTAACTGTGGATAGATAACATTATAGCAGAGACAGCAGAAGGCTGAGGCCTATATG